ATTTTTTCTGAGTGTTTTTTCTGATTTTTGTATTTTTGTTTACAAGAAGTTTTAAAAACTTAATTTGCATATCTCTAGCCTGTCAATGTATGATTTAAATGTAAGTCCATAGCTATCAAGGGCATAATTTAGTATGGAATCCACCATTGCCATATACAAACATTTTAACGTGCTGGTTGGCACTTTGAAACTTAAGTGATAAAATTTACCCAACAGTATTCTTAACTTGTTACAAATAAAATCTATATGAGTGGCCCAAGAAAAATATTCATCTACTTTGAGACCAAGATAAGTAACACATTTTTCTCTTTCTATTGGCTTGCATCTACAATTAATTAAATTATTATGTAAACATTTAAATGAATGGGCGAGAATGGGACTGGGTGAGTCGGTTAAGTGCTCTCCCGAGTGTAAAATCAATAATTTGGTTTTATCCGTGTTCAGAACAATGCCGTTATCATGGCTTCACTTAACAACTGCGTCTACATCTAATTGTATGAAGCGGTAGTATTCCGCGAGATCCGTTCCGGCTCGGAGCAAACATAGATCGTCAGCGAACACGTAGTCTTCAATTTTGTAATATGATTTTTCGATCAAAATATTTTTAAAGTAGTTTTTAAATTTAGGAAATGATAAACTTAATATATGCTCCGGAATCTTATTGAAAAAACGTATACAGTTCCCCATAAAAGAGTTGTTTACCTTGGTTAAACGAAATCGTGGTACCATGAATTTGGACTTAGCTCTAAGGTTAATATTATGGATATCTTCTTTCTTATTGAAATTATGGATATTTTAACGGGCATATAAAATATTTGAGTAAATGTACTGTGATGCCACAATCATGATACCAGTCTCCTTAAACTTTTATCTGAGAGAAACCCGAGAACCTAGACGGTACACAGAACGATTCGCTCGTTTTTGCAATACTAATATGGTTTGAATATCTGCCGCTTTACCCCACATGAGAATCCTGTAGGACATTATACTATGGAAGTAACTAAAGTAAACTAGTCTAGCAGTACTAACATCGGTAAGCTCGCGTATTCTGCGGACTGCGTATGCAGCAGAGCTTAATCTGCTGGCCAGAGACGATATATGTGGAAACCATTCAAGTTTACTATCTAAGGTCACTCCCAAGAAGACTGCTTTATTAACAAGGTCTAACTTTTCTCCGTTTATTTCTATGCTTGGACTAGTCAGATTAAATAAATCAGAAATAAGAAAGGTCCAAGTATTGAGCCCTGCGGAACACCCATTTTTACTGGAGAACCCAAAGAAGTCACTCCATTAATGTCTACTTTCTGAATTCTACCGTTGAGATATGACGAGACAAGTTTCGACGCCTTGCCATTTACACCATAATGTTCCAACTTCCTAATAAGAGTCTTCAGTTCATGTTTCTTATTACTTTTTCAACGTGTTGATATTTCACTGATTGCCATCTCATGCACATATCCGCCTTTTTTGCATAACTGTGTATACTCAACCATTTTACGTCACAGGTATGCTTTATTTGTTCAATTTCGTTCGAGAAAACATCGGCAAAAGTGTTACAAATATCATTTACATTTTGGGAATCCATATTTGATCCATAGTTATCTAAATCCTGCCTGTCATTTTCCATTAACATATGAATTCTCTCCCATATTTTTTTAATATTTTTATTGCAATCTAATATACATTGTTTATCGTGCTCACTTCGGCATTTAATCAAAATGTTTGTACATTTATTTCTTTATCTAGTATAAATTGTCTGTGATATTTGCCACGGACATATTGTTATGTTACCTACAATAATATTTAATATGTTTTTATATTGTGTAGATGACGACTGCACAATATGCGAGAAATCTGTATAGGTTTATGAACATTGTTTTGTTTTGTTAATTGTAAATTGAAAAGTGTTTAAGTTAAAAAATAATAATTGTCAAATTTTATTGTAATTGGTTAACGAAAAGTGGGTGTAATCCAATAAACCGGATTCATCCCCTAATTTGCCACTCTTAGAGATAGAATATTTTCTTTAAAATTGAATGGGCCTACTACTGAGGTACGCGCTTTCCATCGAAAAAGAATGACCGAAATCGGTACACAAATGTCGGAATGACCGCGTAACATACACACCAAAAATAGATAGAGCCGAATTGAGAGCAATAGAGCTCCATGTGAAAGAGTTAGTCCAAGGAAGTACTGCCATCTTATCTATTTCTGCCGCAAACCACTACTATGTTCCAATTTTGAAGGGTAAGTAAGGATGCTCGTGAAATTACAGGCACATGGAACTTGTCAAGTTACTTCTCAGGGTGACGGACGCAGTGGCAGTGCCCCTCAGATCTTTGCGACCTTTAAGGTCTGTCTGGTACTGTAACTGTTATGTATGGCTCGAGTGTAGCGGGCACGTTGACCGTGGCTGAGGCCTGGCGGATGATGTCGTTAAGGGCTGAATGCCGAGTCAAACTTAACATCTCCCATAGAAAGACATAGTGTGTCAGAGCGTAACAATAGCCTAGCAACTGGGGCATAACATTCATATGAAATAAACAAATGACGGAAAACGTTTACTATTCAGAACATTTACTATACAACACAACAAAACAATTAGTGCTAATGTAACTTCAAGTGAAATCTTTAACAAATAATGAATCATTTACCTAATGCTCCGGTCTTTCTTTTCTCTTTTCAGTTTAACTCATACACTAGGAGATTGCCGGAAAGTAGTTGTTGTTAACGTTAGACTCACCTTCACACTGCTCTGTTACACTAGTGTAAATATTGGAATTTTTGTACAAACCTTCACGGCGTTGGTATTAAAGTTGACAATCCTCAGGGACACACTATTTATTTTCTGTAATGGTTGTAGTAGTTATAGGGAATTGACGACCTCGATGGGCCAGCGGTTAACACTCTAGGTGCTATAAGAGCAGATGCCTGGAAACGATTTCTAGTAAGACCAATTCGGGAAACTAGTTCTGGTCTGGGTGTTCTGGGAAATGCCACTCAGTCAATTCCATTCCTCTGGTATTTTATGTTGCACGGAGTTACCTATTTCGATTCCAAGTATGGGTAGTATTGTCGGGGACATTATTGTTATTATAAATATATGTATAAATAATGTATACTCACACACGTTCGTACATGCCCCTTTTCTTTTCAATGCGCATTTCAACCTTTAAGAACTTTCTCGATTTATTTGAAAATGTCATTCGTGGCCGTTATCCTCCAATGTTAGACGGTCTTTTTTGCAACTCTACTTTCGTTGATTAATAACTAGTAACGCAAAATAACTACGAAAAACTTATAACAATTTTAAGAATTTTTTGGATTTTCCTAACTTACGATTGCGTTATGGGAAAAAGCGGCAAAGTTACACAAAACGTGTTTTATATTCCAGTTCAAATAATGTTAGTAAATATTTAATTAAAATTTGCACACGGGAGTTTTTGTCGCGTTTGAAATATTAAAACGCACCAAGTGCTAAACTTCACTATAAGTGTCCGGTCTGATAAGATTCCGGAATACTGATTTGGTATAAGTCTTCCGTAATAAAAATTCCATACTTTAAGACCTGGTAAATGATCCCAAGTTCCAGGTTTGATAACAAGAAGATAAAATAACATTATAAGGCATAATATTTTTGTTTATTATCTAAATTTACGTCACGAGCCTCCTTTATTTATCCACTCTAATTCCAAACCATGCTTCACACAAATGTTTCATTTTTAGACCCCACGAGGCATTATTGTTACTTGATACTCCGCCCAGCGATGTCTATAAATAATTTCGCTCAATCGATCGCCCGGTTACTCCTGTCCCCGGCCTCTGTTCGAGATAAAAATGTAAACAACCGATCTGTTGATTTAATGACACAACTCTTTAAAGTCAAAGTCGAAGAATTATTTATTCCATAGCCATAAGTAATAGTTATTTGTTATGCAAGGCTGCAAAGTTGTTGTTTGGCGCTAGTACTTGTATTAAAACTTGAGCAAGCGAAGGAATAAGATTGAACATTCAAAAATTGTATACTGAACGTAGCGAGGTTTTCAAGGTACGAGACGCAAAATAACTTTACTGCCGAGCGAAACACGCAACTTTTCACTTCACTACAGTGAGAAAAATGGTAGATGAAAGATAAACAGTTGAACTATAACAAATCAGTCTTTCATCACCGCTACACTCAGTCTCGCTCACGTTTTGTTTCTTTTCAATTTATTACAATACAATTCAATCCAAAGTATTAAAACTGAAGTGATTAAAATGAAAATTTGAAAAAAATAAGTTTATTTTTGGGTGCGTTCTGAATTTACGCCACATACGTTTACCTCTTCTTTGTATTATAATTTTATGTGGTTATCGAAATTATTTTAGTTCTTCGACAAATGAAAATAATCCAGTAAAACAAAATTAGTCAATAATAATAGGAATAAATTATACCAACGGATTAATTTTATATAAATACTTAATGTACTTATGACTGCGTTCTGAATTTGCATGTCATCGATTCTTATTCTTGCTTGTACTTATAATTTTGTGTGATTACGAACACTTAGAAAAAATTCCATCGATCCGGTCGGATTCGACCGACGTCGTCTAGCAAACCGTGCCAGACGCTATGCCAACTAAGCCACGGAACAAACCATCGGACCTCACGAATTTTTCCACGTGCTTGTTTTGTCGAATCTTTGTATTTAGTTGTCAATGCCATCGTCAATCAGTTGCTAACTTTACAGCTACCAGCCCTGGCGAGAGATGTTATATGTCATATATTATAAATTTTCTAGGTTATTATTTACGTTTGACGTTTAAGATTATTGAAAAATGATTGAAAAAATCCCAGTAACCATATTAATTTTGATCAAAATTCAATTCTACTTAAAACGCGAAGTCGATCAAGCGGCTCTCTATTCAATACGTGCGCTTGAAATTTAAATTTAATATTTAATACTCTGCGGTTTTTACATTGTATTGAATAAGCTCTCTTTGTTTCAGGAACAATGCTCCGCTGACGCGGGAGCGAATGGAAATAAGCCCTCTTTACGTTCGAAAGGAGTTTGAGGTAAATACTTTCATAAGAATAATATTCTATACATATGAGGAGATCAAGGAAACGATCAAGGTCACCTAAAAACGTGTTTTGAGGAAACATTACCATGTGATTCGTCAAAGCTGAGCGTATTTTGCCTAAATCAGAAACAGGCTATTAAGGTTTAATATCGATGCCTTACTTTCTCAAACTCGCATCTCATAAAGAGTGATTATTCAGGAGATGGCAAAACTTCCTATTTATTTTAAATTAAGAAAAAAAATTAAGAATAGGTAAAAGTCAGTGTGAATATGAAGGAAATGTGATGTGAAATCTGCCTGCAAAATTTGTATATACAATAATTTTTTTGCATTTTAGTAACTTTGTTCTTTTTTTTTTTTTTTTTTTTATACCTGACAGGCAAATGACTCCACTCCACCTGATGTTAAGATACGAGTTTGAGAAAGTAACTAAAGAAAAAATAATTTTTAGTTTTAGGCATAAAATGCTTGAGACTACATGGTAGAAAAATTAAATAAGTTTTATGAAGGTTTTTTAAGGTAAAATGGATTACATAAGGTCACACACATTTTGTCAACATTCACTTTATTCCAGGTAGCATTTATGCATGTCCTTTTCACCAACATTGAACAGTTTAGGAAATGAAACTATTTTTCCGGATTTAAATCGCGTATACTTATTTTTTCAAACAAAGTTTGTAAAGGACCATGAGACCTCTATAGGGCCTGAAACGTCGGTTTGTTTGAAAAAACAAATATACGTGATTTAAATCCGGAAAAATAGTTTCATTTCCTATGTGTGACAATCGCGAAAACCTAAGAACTCGATATTGAACAGTTTTCCAAATGAAATTTTATTTTTTCCTAAAGTTCTCCTCGAGTGACTTTGATCATCTTATATCTATGTTCTTGACAATAATACGCATGACTGCACATACGGCACGCTATGGCAGTATTCGCGAGACAAAATCAAATATTATTTATATCTTGTAATAATACTACTCATCAGTTTTAATTAAAATTTTTCTCTAAATTTGTATGCCTTGAAGTTTTATACAATTTTTTTTTATTAGTCCTTTCGCTTTCGCGATTGCTACAAACTGGAAATAAAACTATTATTTTGGAATCTAAATCTCAAATATTTGGTTACCAATGTTTTGAGACCTTTAGTATATAAATCGATCTTGGAAAGGTAAAACGTCTAACGTGCATTTCGAAAATAGTACAGCAGCTTGATTTTAATTGCCTCTCCAGATCGGAAACTCCGTCTCTTCCGAGTCGAGGCGCATAATTGCGATTCACAACTGGCCGGTCGGAAACTTTCGACATTTCAAATCGGAACAATAGTTGGTTTAATTCACAAATTAGAAAGATATAGTTGGAATTAGGTTCATCTTCTCGCTCAGAAACCCATCTGTCAAAATCAAAAAATCAAAATCAAAATCAGCATGCAGGAGTGCCATTTAAAGTTTCTTTTTTAAGAAAAGAATATCATTACTCTAATTTCTTTGTTATTTGGAAAACTAGAAATATTCAGTTGTTATATATATATAATTAGAATTATGAGTTTTTTTCTTAAAAAAACTTGAAATCGCTCGCTTGTAATATTTTCCAAATGCACGTTAGACGTGTTACCTTTCCAGCGTCGAAACATAAAGGGCCGTTGGTTATTTTTAATTAACAAATATTTATGCGATAGATCTGGAAAGTAATAATCATTTCTAAAAATACCTTTATTTAACTTTCTGGTAAATAGATACCGGTGGCAAATCTACAGAATTACGTTTGATTCCAATTGCCTTACCTAAAAAATTCATTCTCCAACTTAGTAATACTACTCGGTAGGTATTCAAAAAAGAAACAATCTTGCATTCTAACATTTGCTACGTACCTTTTACATTCGTTGGCGGCTCAAATAGTTAGCAGAAGAGATCCTTGTGAAAGAGTTTGGTGATTCAGACATATTTGGTTTTTCAATGACTTATAGCCGTAGCGCTATCTATGAAAGTATTTCGTTACCCAGTTAGATACCTTTACAGCTGTAATTATAAAATAATTATAATAAAACTGGTAGCTATCAGCCCTGGCTAGAGATGTCGCTATTATCTGTAATTATTTTTTTATTGTATTGATATTCAATTATTTTTTGTGAAATTTTTCCACTAGTTTCTTATAATTATTAATAAAAAGGTGGAACACTTAGAAAAAAATTCCTTCGATCTGGCCGGATTCGAACCGACGTCTCCTAGCAAACCGTGCCAGACGCTGTGCGAACTAAGTCACGGAACGAGCCAGCGTACCACACGAATTTTTCTATGTGCTTGTTGTCGAATCTTTGTATTCGGCTTTTCAACGACTTTTTAGCCTTAGCGCAATCTATGAATAAAAGTATACTTTATCACTGCTAAACCAAAACGTTTTAAAGAGTTGAAATATATACTGTAATAGTATAAAGTAAGTGGTTTTTTGCTTATCGTACTTTGCGGTGGCAATTGTTAGTTGCAATTGCAATGCGCAATGGGTGGCGAACGTCAAAGGCAAACCTTTTGAGAACCAGATGAAGTATGTGTAAACAGGATCTGATCTGGGTTCAGGACCTGACTGATATAAGGTCACTGTGCAGACTTGCTCGCACATGTAATTGTGCCCAGGGGTCACTATAAACAAAAAAACATGTCGAAAGTTATGGGACTGCTCATTCTACTTACCACCTATGTACAACTTTGTGTATCTAGTGCCTAAATTGTACTTTCTGTTTTCAAGTAATTGTATCAAACTTAATTAAAATCGATCTGAAATTACAGGCACATAGAACTTGTCTACTTATGTCTCAGAGTGACGCGCGCAGTGCCCCTCAGATATTTGCGATTTAAAGCTATGAGTGGCACTGCAACTGTTATGGACAGGCCTGTAGCTTACCATCAGGCGCACGACTTGTTCGTCCCGTCACTAGATATTATAAAAAGAAAAATTGTGTTTGGAAATAAAGTCCCAATTTCTTTGACCAGATTGACGGCGAAATCGGCGATCAATGGGAAGTCAGAAGGTCCAGGGTCCGCCTAGGTGGATTAATCGGGAGCGGAGCCTTCGGCAGGGTGTACGCGGCTGCGCTTGAGACCCCAGGCGCGGAAACCGTTACTGTCGCTGCGAAGAAATTAGCTGGTAGGAAACAATTTACTACGTCTATTTAGAATTCCTTTTATCAAAATTAAAATATTCAAAATGATCTGAAGTTGATTTATCATTGTGTTATGCATTTTTCTTTCCTCTCTGGAAAGGCTTAACATGTAAATACTGCCCTGATAAGCCGAAAAGCGCTATCTCAATCGGAGTAAGTTTTGAGAAAATCGACTTTTTGTAAATTGTATTTTCGCACCTTCAAAAATAAATCTTTTTGAAGACATACCTAAATTATCCATAAATTGTACCATTATACCTATTTTATGAGATACCGCTATTTTGATTATAAAGAAAGGTTTTAAAAATTGAGACATAAAAATACTTCTTAGTGGTTTTTTAAATGTTTTAAGTTAGATAGCGCTATTTCTATTATACCATTAGATGCGAAATTATTATAGCTGTTGAATGGTATTAAAAAAACTAAAAGGGCATATTTCAGAGATAGCGCCTTTCAGCTTTGCAGGGCAGAATAGGTTTTTGTGAATGGATTAAAATTTTCTCGTGTCTAGGGCCTGCTTCATTTATAACAATGGAACAATACCGGAATCTCTACAGCGCACGACATTTCCTTCAATTTGGAACTGGAAACACAAACCATAGACCCTAAATAAAAGTTAAACTTGTTTAATAATATATCCTTATTATATCGATAATCTATCATTTCGTAGACAACGCGTCGGAAGAAGAAATGCAAGACTTTCTTCGCGAAATAGAAATGCTGAAACACGTCGGCTCCCACAAACATGTTATCCGTTTAATCGGGTGTTGCACCAAACGAGCTCCTCTTATGGCATTACTGGAGCATGCACCCAGAGGAGACTTGTACACTCTGCTGCGAACGGCGAGAGGGAGAAAAAAACCTGACGACCTCTCCAATATAACTAGAAGAATTGATAGCGACGTAAATGAACGACCTTCTCAGGCTGATTGTACGTATATAACACTATATTAATTTATACTACAACATACGAAACGCAATGAAAATCTAAAATTTCATAAATGGCAGCACTCAATGCGGCTTATCGAGTGTTCTATCTATTGTCATTCTAAATTGACTCTCTATAATAACGAAATCAAAGATTACTCGTTGTTAAACAATTGCCTGGAACGTATCGCTTAGCACTTCTAGTATTTTTTTAAGAAAACTGTGTTTTAGTACGGTGTAATATTGAAACGCCTGGCAATTTTTATAAGCAAATTTTTTTTTTAATCCAATTGCTACTGTACTTTATTAAAAATCGTTAAACACGTTACACTACATACATGACAATGTATTATTTACCTAATGCAGGTAAACAAGTGTCATAAATCACAACACAGCAACAAATACGTAATCTCCAAAAAGAACTAAGAAATTACTAAGTGAACTCGACGTAATTTAATTTTATTTACTATTTCAGCGGGATATACAAATTTCAGCGGTTTTGATCCACCTATCGAACAGAAGTTTTACTTGGAAGGAGAACCAAGACGAGACCATTATGTGGCGGAACCTACGCTACAGTTAAATAGTAGCACTATGCGGGATTATGCACTACAAGTTGCGCTGGGAATGAAGCATTTAGAAGAGCGCGGAATTACTCATAGGTTAGTATAACAAAATCATTGCATGGTAGGTGACAAGTAACTTACAGGTATTCATGTTCTAAATAGTCGTACCGTGGGCCACATTTAAACCCATTATATGCCAAAATGAATAAAATAGGTACATTTTATTGTCCAATAGATTTTGGTAAATTTTGAGACTCCACACGGCATAAAATATCGAAAGGCTGCTTAAACACTGGTTATCTCTTAACTGCCTCCGTGGCCTAACGGTTACCATGCCGGACTGCCACGCAGAGGTCCCAGGTTCAGTTCCCGTGCCGGGAGAAATAGTTGTATGGACTACAATTATTTCTCTCGTGAGTTTGGATGTAATTTGTGGTTGTCTATGTGTGTGTCCATGGCACCCGCGACACAGGGTTTCCCTAGTGCGGGGCTATGTAGCGTGTGTGCGTTATTTATTATTTATTATCTTTGCTCTACTTTATTGAATAATGAGATTGATAGGATATACAATGTAGCTATATTCTTTCTTTAGCTTAAAAGCTTGTCGTCATATGCAGAGCATTCAAAGCAGTTTAAAAAAGTAATAATAGATAAAGCGTTTGCCTGTGAGTTTATTATTTTTGGCAAGAACGTTACTGTTGCTAGTCTTCTTCTTAGCGTATAGACTCTGACATTTATATTTGTGAGGACCAGCACTTAGCAACTGACACAGCATTATCAGTGGAGTTGTCAGGTCCTCGCGTGTTGGTAGAAAACAATAGTCAAAATACATCAAGATAATGCAAACAGAAACCTAACAAAAAACAAACAATTAACTTTTTAGTTCCTGGTCACAAATAAAATCAGCGCATGACTTCAGAGAATCTTATCGTGAATAAAATATAAGATAAATCTGTGAGACTAACGTGTAACGCTCCAGTATACTATGATGGACTAGTCATGTAACTCCTTACAAACGTAGCAACATGTCTTATAGATATGTACACATGCCAATCTTACCGTTTTAATTATAATATTTTCACCTCACTAGCCCCGAAAGGCTTTCTTTCTCATTAGAAATCAGCATGAAAACACCTTTTTTGCACGCTAGCGTGAAAAATGTTTTTGAAATTCGAAGTTGACGATAGACTGTGGTGCACCTAACTTTTACTTTCGATGAAAGAAAATATAACGACACTTTCAACTACGCGATTTGTGATACATTACTTATATAAGTAATATAAATCCCTTGGTATATTTTATTCTTATTATTGTTGACCTTAAATGGACAATGATAACTAATTGCTTTTATTAAATTATTTTAATTCGTCGAAGAACCAAAATAATTTCTATAATCACTTAATCTCACAAAATTATAAGTACAAGCAAGAATAAAAATTGATGAGGTGCAAATTCAGAACGCATCCGAAGAAAACTTTTTTTTTTAATAAAAAAACTGATAGAAAATGAAACTATTTTTCCGGATTTAAATCGCGTATATTTGTTTTTTCAAACAAACCGACGTTTCGGGCCCTTTACAGGTCCCATGGTCACGGTTGACTGAGGTGGTACAGTCTTCAACCAGTTATGTCTAATATTAATGCAAACCACCCTATTTTATCACTATGGTTACAATAGTTATTAATTAAATACCTTATTTTTAATTTTACAAAGAAAACATTCCAGTTTACGCTACATTAAGTTTTACAAATTATTTTATTGAATGAATTTTTTGTTAAGTTTAATTTATTATTAATTATTAATAGAAATTAGAAAAAACTAAAACATATTAATTAGTACTTCAATCTTATGTCTGTTTGGGATTTTTCATTAGAGGAAATAGTGGATCCCAATCTGGTGGTATGGTTTCTCCACCATCTTCCCTGTTGAAATTAGGATGTTTTTTAATTTCAATGGCCTCTCGCAGCATCCTGGGTAGATAACGGACTTCTTTTGCAAGGACCTGGGGTTTGTCAAACTTCATTAAATGTGTAGGTTTATCCATGACATGCTCGCAGACTGCAGACTTGTTTACGCGACGGTGTTTGACATCAGCTATATGTTCTTTGACGCGGGTACAAATACTTCGCTTTGTTTGTCCAATATAAGAGAGACCGCACTCACAGTCAAGCTTGTAAACTCCTGCATCCTGTAAGGGGATGTTACATTTCACGGGTCTCAGGAACTGAGAAATCTTCCTCAGAACTAAAAAAACTGATGTTATATAGTTCAACTGTTTTTCTTACATCTAGCATTTTTCTCGCTGTAATGAAGTGAGAAGTTGTGTGTTTCGCTCGGCAGTAAAGTTGTTTTGCGTCTCGTGCCTTGAAATTAAATTATTTATTTAATTATATTATTTATTGAATAATGTGTACGGAAAAAAAACAACTTCTACCTACCTTATTCCCCGACTGACAAACGATTTACCGATAGAATTATGTAATTCTTTAACAACCACTAATATATAAAGTAAACTTAAAAATTACTTTGTAAACAGCTTAATCAATTGCGACAAATTTGATTGTTTCTAAATGTATTTATACAATTTCTGTATAATCCTTTTGTTAATAATAGATTATATTATGCAAATTACTTAAATATTAGCAAAACTTTTCTGTTAGCAAAATGAACATATGTATTGTGTGGATACAGTTCTCGTTACTACGAACCGTAGTGGTTTAAAATGTGACTAGAAATATTGGTGCGTATTACGTTTCAAAGGATAAATAAAAAAAAATCAGATTCGCCAACAGAAGTACACTACTAAACATGGACATAAAATAATACTGCAGAAATTACTCTAGTGTAAATGAAAATGGCAAAAACCTCATATAATATCGTACCAGAAGCATTTACTGTATGTTACATACAAACAAATGGATATAAACATGGATTAAATTATTTTGCAATGTTACAGAATTGATAGTCTGAGTAGTTTATATAATAAATACTTAATATTTTTTTAAACTATAAATGGGACTACTACTGCAGTACCTTTATGCCAACGAAAAAAGAAACATCAAAATCCGTTATCTTGAGTTATCGCGTAACATACATTCAAGAAAAACAACATACACTGGATTTTTTTGAAGTCGGTTAATAACGAATGAAATTCTAAATCAGATGACCTGTGTTTATATGTTTTATGTAATTTATTGTACCTACTCACGGCAAGTTGGCTTCAAAATAGCATTGGAGCTAACATTGTTTTGAATTGTTTGGTATTAAAAGGACGGTAATTATAGAGCCTGGCGTTGTATATAATGACAACCCCACGCTCCGAGTAACGTGTATGCATTGACGAGTCAAACAGACAGGAGTTGGACTACTTTCTTATTATAGTAAGATACCAACCCTATAGTTGTTAACTGGTAATCGAAAGCGCCCCGTAAACGATTAAATAATTTGTCAAATTTTAGAACATGTTTTGAGAGAGATATTTTGTGAAAAAACTCCACTAGTTTTATATCGACTTCAAGGTTTTCGCTATTGTTACACACAGGAACTATATTTCCGAATTTAAATTCCGTACATTTGTTATTCCAAACAAACCAACGTTACGGGCCCTTTACAGGTACGTGATGAAAAAATCCCAAAGAGACATAGACTACTGATTAATATGTTATAATTTATTCTAATTTCCATTATTAATTAATAAATTAATTTCATTTAATAAAAAAATCATATTGTTAAAATAAAATAATTGTAAAACATATGTAGCGTAATTTGAAAAGTTTTTTGTAAAATTTATAAGTAAGGCATTTAATTAATAACTTTTGTAACTATAGTGAAAAATAAAGGTGGTTTGCATTAATATTAGACGTAACTAGTTGATGACTTTACCACCTCAGTCAACCGTGACCTTGAGACCTGTAAAGGGCCCCAAACGTTGGTTTGTTTAAGAAAACTAATATACGCGATTTGAATCCAAAAAATAGTTTCATTTCTACTAGTTTTGTTATGATTATGAGTACAAAGAACGAACACACGGTCGGAAAAAGGTGTTCCACTTACATAGATACATGTATAAATATAGCTACAAAGTGATATATAGTTGTTAAAACCACCAAATTTTAATACATTATTCAAAAAAGAATTCCGGATTTCCGAAAATGGTTTTCAGCATTATTCAGCATTATTAGCATCTTCGTCATTATTATTATTTTAGTACCAGTAGAGCTTCTTGTGAGAACGAACGTCCAGAGAAGTACTGCCACCATACTTGTTACTTCCGCCAAGCAGTTTACTGTAATGAAAAGTCAGTTATCTACAGCATTTTTTTTAAATGAATTACTTTCAAATTCAACTTTGACTTGCAACATCGTCGGCCAGCATCGCAGGATAAAACTACTAGGAAGCTTTGTCCTACGACGCAGTAAAACCATTTCCGAAAGTCCAAAATTCGAAAAATAAATTAAAATTTGATGATTTTAACAACTCTATGTCACTCCTTGTATCTATATCTATACATGTATCTATAGATTTGGTACACCTTTTTCCGACCTATGTTCATTGCACAAATTGCAAAGACATATGACTCATTGTATTAAGTATATAGAACGGTACGTAAGACTGTACATGGCAATGACCGAGTATGAAGTACAGGCCAGTTTGTCAAACTTCTTTAATGGATTATTTGACCGTTTGAGATATTGTTTGAATAAAACGTGAACTTGGAATGTACATACACATAAGATCATAAGATACATATTCAGGACTGGCAGCTGACGTGACTGGTCACGTCTAAAAGGCTGGCTTACGTTAAAGAATGATTACATGATTAGATAGTTAATTAAACTATTTAAATTCAATCCGTAATTGTAATTCTGTTGTATAAAATACTATATAGGTACCTACTTAAGCCGGATTTACATTTCATCACCTTACATTCTCAAACTCGTATCTTATAGCACAAAGTAACTGAAACGCAAAAAATGCATTGTATATACAAATTTTGCAAGCACTGGTTTTTACCTGTTCTGCAAGTAATACGTCCAAATTAACACCCTTGATAAGAAATTTTAAATAAACAAAAAGTTTTGCCATCTCCATTTTGC